AGGAAATAAAGAAGCCTGAAAGGAAGTGTATAAAAGGATACTTGTTATAGCAATAACAGTGATAAATAACCATGTAAATATCCCAAAGTGATTTAATTCCAGGTATGGAAAGAAGTCTGTCACATATTAAGTGCAAAAGCAGTTGACAATATGATCCCAACCAGAATATTAATAGTTATTTAGTATAATCATGTGTGTTTTTAAAACTCACCTGAATTTTAATTTATTTATTGTGACACATGACTTTACTAATAACTTTGTTCCATGATTTTTATATTTAAAAGCAAGGGAATCCTGAGAAATTTGTTTTCTATACTGGTGAAATTTATTATTTTTACCATATAGGTATCTACTACTTAATACAAAATATCTGCTACTGGAAATTTATTTGAGCTATATTTATGACTTTATCATGTCAAAGTTTCCTTCACAAATGACATTTTAAACAAATTGTTTTTACCTTAGCTCCAAATTCCACAAGATTTGCTAAATTCTGCACAGATTTAGCCACTAATATCAGTGTTCTTGCAGCAATCGGAGATGGAGAATCTATAAGAGAAGTGGGCACAGGTAAACAATTCTAAATTTAGCACTTTAGTATTTCATTGCTCTTAAAATACTAACATTCTTCTATTAAGAACTCATAATGCTTGAAAAAAATAACTTGAGTTCAAAGGGGAAAAAAGGAATACACTTTACTGTGCTTCTAGTTTTGTGAAAAGGGCACTATGAAGTTCAGAAATTCCAAACTTGTTGAAACTGTTTCAGAATACCTCAAAAAGATTTTTATTCCTAAAAACTGTCATTCCACATATCTTTCACAACAATTCTCAAAGTCCACATATCTTTCAGAACAATTCACAAAGTTAATTTCAAACCACTAAACAATTTGGAATTTAAGCAATTTCTGGCTCCCAACTTTATTTCAAATTTATCTAYAGATAATTCACTTTAAAGAACAAGAACAAAGGTATTCTGGGACCTCTGATTTATTTATTAATAAACTTCAGAAATATTTTAAAGTTCAGTTAGGAAACACTTCTCTGTAGAACACAGTTGAATGTAAATAAAATTTTTAGCTATTAAATATATAAATATTTATGTTGTAAATATTATAAATAGAAATATTAAAATTAATATAACTATTTACCTGCAWTATCCTATAGGCAGTCTCCCTGACTGCTTGATTTTTTTAGATCATACTCTTAAAGCAGCTGAGCTATAAATATTGTTGAGTAGCAGATAAGAGGCCAACATTAAGATAAATGTTTCCAAAAGAATTCTAAACTCCTGAGTCTTAACAGACTCATAGATTTACTCATTTTAATAGCAATAAAAAGTAACTACTGGGATGTGGTGGCTCTAAAAGTAAAAGTCAAGATATTCCAAAATATTTTAGTTTTGAGCTTCAAATTATTAGGACACTCAGGTGCAATGGTGCATGCATGTAATCCCAGAGGCTGAGGCAAGAATACTATAAGTTTGTGGCCAGCCTGAGCAATTTTGTGAAATCCAGTCTCTAAAAATGAAAAAAGCTGAGGATGTAGCTAAGTGGTAAAGTACCGCAATCAGATTCAATCCCAAAAACTGCAAAAAATTTTCTAAAAATTTTTAAATTATTAGGATAAAAACAGATCTGATGTCTTCTATTAATAATGGCTCATTAGTACATTTGAAATTGTAAGTGTCACAGTTATTCTTTCTTTGAAAGAAGCCTACAAGTATATCCAAAAGTCTTTCTATAATGAACATGTAGGTAAATAAGAAAAATTGAGTCACGTGTTATTGGTGGTTAAAAAGGCTGATTAACATCATATAACTGGTAACAAATTTTCATGGGAGGAACCAGCTCTAACATAAACAAAGAGCAGTACTGTGACTTGAGGTAGAATTTTAATTAGATCTTAAAAAGACACTCCAGTGTACATCAATTGAGCATGGATTAAGCACGAAAAATTTCCCAACTTGCAAAGGCCCAATTATAGTCTGTAAAATGTTTAAGAATTTGAGACACAAGTAGGGATGGAAAGAAAGTGAAATGTGTATAATTCTGCCATCTCATCCTTAAAATAGTAGATGAAAGAAAAGCTAGGAAGCCAAATAGAAAAGGTAAAGAAGTAAAGAATGAAAGGGAAGGGTGCTTAGAATTTGATAATTTTTCCAAAATCAGATTTAAGAGTATTCTTACCAATTAATATGAGCTGTTTGCTAATTTTATTTTCATTTCAAAATTCATCAAAAGCTAATTACCTGAGATGATATTAAACATCCGTGGATTCAGGATGGCAGGACAGATAAGCCGAAGAAAAACAAAACCACTGAATGGGAGGGAAATTTTCTTTTTTAGAAAATAAATATAAACAATTATTAATACTCATAGAACCACAACCTTTACTCTGAATTAACGCAGGGCAGCCCAAAGATAGAAAATTTAAGAAAAAAGTAAATCAAAGCATTGCATTTTGAGAACATGTATATCTACTTCTTGAATATATATTACCCATTTTCTCCAAATTGGGATTTAGATTAATTTTGGGAAGACATTAAATTTCATACAGCATTTACTATCTTAGCTAAGAATTTCTGAGATGCTATAGTAGTACAAATAAACTCTTCATAGATATACAGTTCTGTATTCCTATTACTCTTGATTCTTTTTTTATAAACAAAACATCCCAGTAAAGTCTGTTCTAAATCAACTTGGTTGTTATCAATTTTGTTGATGAGTCATAAAAATAGAAATCCAAAGGGACTTTTTATTGGTAAATGAAAGTGTTTACTACAGTAAATAGAATGATGAAAAGCTCTTAATAAAGAAAAAAACTTTATAAGTTTTTATAAACTTTAGAATTCATAAAGTTCATAAAATAGCAAAAATTAGTAGAAAGCATATGGCATAATGATGAGATTTTATCTGCTGATTTTACTCAGGGAACAATTAACTAACTTATTATATAGATATATATATAGATATATATATATTCCTACTGTACTTCCTTTAGTCACTTGTACCAAGACTATATATATTGTCCAGTAGATTATTTTCTTTTAGGAGGAATCCATACTAATACTTGACCTACTAAAAGACAAGCATTATTCCCTAAATAGTTTATAAAAAGTCCATCTAGAGACTACTGGCACAGTCTTTGTTATTTGTTTTATGTTAACCTGCAAACGTATTCTATATTGTTAATTTTGGACTGTTAGAAAATAAATGCTATTTCTCAAACAGCATTTGTAGCAATTATATAACTATAATTAAATCTTTAAATCTGGATTTCACTCTAGTAGGCTTTGTGAACCTAAAACTTAACCTGGCTCCATGTAAGAATGCAAAAGTGGACAAATCTACTTTGTTAGTTTTTAGAGAATAAATTTGAAAGGAATATGTAAGTACCTACACATATTTAAAAGGTTGGCCCCTAAAACACCTTGTCATACTATATCAATATTATAGGAGAATTTTCTACTGTGCTTAACAGTTAATTTTCATGATAAACATAACTATTGAAATATTGTTTGTAATCCTTTTCCTTTCCTCTGTCACCACTATAACCAATAAGTAGAGAATTTATAATTTTTAAATATAACCAATCAAGAGAGTTATTTTGAGGTGGTTTTTTTTTTTTTTTTCTCCTCTCTTTGCATAATAGTGGTACCTGGTCTAACAAAGGGCTTTGCATATGTTAGGAAATTGCCCTGGTACTGAGCTATACCCCTACCTACCCAAGAAAAATTTCATGTGTTCGAGAAGTAGAAACACTTGAAAAAACTTAGATTGGAGGGAGGACTAATACACATTTCAAAACTAATTGCTAAAAGACACCAATATATAATATAATATAATATTATATATTGGTGTCTTTTAGCAATTACCTATTTTTTTGAGATCGGACATAACTGACAGTATATATTTTACATAATAAATTATTAGAAAACTACTTCATTTTCTGATGCATTTGCACTAAACTTCCAATGATGTAGTATTGGTAGGGTTGTGCTTACGAACAAAAGCTTGCAACAATGTTAAAGATATCAGGTTGAATTTGCTTTAGTTCTGTCTTGGTTACTAATGTTCCATATATTCTTAGGTGAACAATGTAACTTCTTTAAATCTGTTTCTTCATTGGAAGAGTAAGTTAGAATGATAATTACGAAGTTCCCACATATAAGCTCCCAAATTCCAAAGAATTACCAAAGCAGTTTTACCTAATTATTGTTCAATGAGCAAACTGAAACAAGCTTTGGAACTGGAGGCTTTGGCTGAAGATCAGCCGGAAGTAAAAGACTGTGTTACAAATCAATTAATCAGTATATAAATGGTTCAATTATTGCTCTTCTCTCTTAGCACCAAATGTCTCTCTTTCTCTATATGTGTATATGTGTACGAATACATAAATGTGTATGTACACACACACACACACACAAAAAAAAAAATCAGTGTGTGCTATATAGAATGTTGTAACCAATGAATTAATGAACCTTACCTAACAACTCTTGTTCTCATGGTGGTATTTGTAGGCCATTTGTGTTGAACAGATTTCTGTAAACACCCATAAATATATCTCAGTGTCCTGCCAAAATAACACAATCATCTCAATACAGAAAAAAAAGTAAAAAATACTGATTTCACGGCAGCCAAAAGTTTTACCCAAATACACCACATTTTAATTCAACTGGCCTTTCCCCTCAAAAAGGTATTTTGGGAAAAGTAATAAGAAACACATTTAGCAAGAGGTAAGGAAAACATAATCCAGTGAGTTTATCATGATCCAATTTAGACTGCCTGTCTTTAATGAAAGTATGGAACAAGTATTGGAATGAGGATAGATAACTATTGTGGTGTAAGTTCTGTGGAAAAACACTTTGACTTGTTAATTACATCTACTTGAATAAGAACGTTCACTAACACTGGAGGCCCTTAAGCAGATATAGAATGATATTGACATCTGGAATACATTTTTAAATTTTTTTCTTTCTTTTTTATTGCAGTGCTGGGGAAAGAACCCAGGGCCTTGTGCATGCTAGGTGAGCACACTAGTCCAGAGCCACATTCCTAACCCTCTGGTATACATTTTGAACAAGAAATTCAAACAGACTAAATAGACAACATGTCTTTCATATCTTCTTAAATCTGAGGTGACAGGCCCCCTTTATTCACTTCACAAGACACTAGATAAGCAACCTATATAAATACATGGTTTGTTTTCCAAATCTAAGTATTTCATTCGACTTTCTTTAATAATAATTTTCTCTGGATACTTTCACTCTTTTTCCTTAAGTACAGTTCACCTTATAAAGATTTAAAACTATAACTTTTTCAGAGTATAATAATATCAGGAATAGACAGCTTACATATATTTTAGAAAAACAATTTTTTCAAATGAAGATTTTACTACTTACGGTGGAAGTATTTCTGAAGCCATGAATATTTTCTCCACAAGTTCTGAAAGTATGTTCAATAGGTGTGCTAAATTAGTGTTCACATCTTCATTTTTTTCTAATTTAGATGGACTTAACTAAGGAACAGATGAATATAATGGCAATGATAAATACAAATAAATCAAGGTAAACAGTTTTCAAGATTCTCAATTTTTCTATTGTATCCGTCTTTCCTTTTTTACTTTGCATAAATGGGAATTTTAAGTAGCTGCTTTACCATTCATTCCCAACTATTCAACTGAAAACCAAGCAGTGATTAATGAATTTTATTTATTTTATTTATCTGAAGAAAAAATGATTAAATAAAAAGGCTTTTCTGAATGAGGTGGGACTTATATAATGGCTAATGAAAATACCAATGCTTTAGGCAGAATCATAATCCTTTCTGAAAACTGAAATCTTAAAATTTAAGTTCTGGACTGGTGTCAATGGAGTGGGTTTAAGAAAATATGAATTCCTTCTATTAGGGGTTCAGGGATTCTCTACAGACTTGCTGCATTTCTGCATCATCTTTCATGGTTAGATCAACTATCGCATTATCCCAGATTTTCAACGCCAGATCACTCATCTCTTCCCTTTACTAAATAAGAACTGACAACTTAGTGCATATTTTGTCAATGAATCTTTATTTGTATTTATATGCAGTACTAAGGATTGAATCCAGTGCCTCACACATGCTAGGCAAGCGTTCTACCACTGAGCCACAGCACCAGCCCCAGAATTAACATTTTGACAGTTCCAACATTAAAAGAAATTCCTTATTATTCAAAAAGGTATAATCAATATCTTTCTTTTTAACTGTTCCACCATGAAAATAATATAATAGCCATGTGAGTTTCTACTCATCATCTTATATATAATGAAGCTTTAATCATACTAAAAACATGATTTTATTTGCTTTTCTTATAATCACCTTTCCCCAAAAGACCTTCCAAGGACAAATCTGTGTTGTGAAGTGTTATGTAGTTTTACAGGTTAAGCATCCCTAATTGGAAAATCGAAAATCTGAAATGTACCTAGTTACAAAACTTTTGAGTGTTAACATGTTGCCACAAGTGAAAAATTCTATACTTGACTTTATATGGTGTATCTTAATTAAAGCACAAGCACACTAAAAATATCTTATAAAATTACCCTCTGTGTGTATAAAGTATATAAATTAGTTTTGTGTACATGGAAATGTATAAAATCGGGGGCGAGGGGGAATCCCAAATCTGAAATACTTCTGGTCCCAGTATTTTGGATAAGAGATACTCAATCTGTTCAATAAAAGTCCCTAAAACACTCAAATTTATGTGATGCACATGAAAGTAGCACATTCTTGTTCATTAGTATAGTAGGAGAAAATCATGAATTTCTGGTACAATTTAATAGTTTCTAATTCCAAAATAAAGCACATGTGTGATGCTGGAGATTAAACTCAGTACCGTACACATTCTAACAAGTGTTTTATGACTGAGCTACATGCTAAACCCCTACTCCTGAAGTACCTCTTTTTTTTAAAAAAGTCTTTTTCACATTTTTATAAATGTATTACATACATGTCCAAATACATTTTATAAATGTATTACAGAAGGTATAACTGCTTTGATGGATAGTTTCAGAAAATGTATTTTCCTTAAAATGCAATTTATTTGCTGAAATACTTAAAGCATTAAATTCTTACCTCACAAGACTGTTTGCTTTCCATTATCTTTAAGATGGAGTCTTTCAAAGCATGATGAACAAATTGTGTAGCAGTGGCTTTCATATATTGCTCCATCAAGGTGCTTGCAAGTGTCGTGGCTCTAAATAGAGTAGTGGCTTCATCTACACAAACATTTATATTAAAAGATGATTTGTAGAGGACTCTACTAAGGTGACCAAATTAGAAATTATTTTTCTGCAACAGTTATAACCTTTAAGTGCACTATGCAGCACTGAAGTAATCAATTATAATGACATAATTCTAACAACTCTTGTAAAAGACTTTCATGTGTGGTAAACAAAATTAGATCATAAGAAGAAGGAATTAACACCATCATTTTCATATGAAAAAAAGGAAAACTCAGAATTGTTAAATCACTTGTCTCAGATCAGTTAGCTAGTTAGTGATAAGACTGAAACCAAAAAATGCCTGCTTTGCTATCTCATTTCATGCTTTGAAAAGTCTGAGTCCATTTCCAAATAATAACATAAAACCCGAGTATAAATTATTAGTTATTGAAACATTTTAATAAATATTACTGGAAAAGAATTTCACTGTAAAATATATACTACTATTTTATCTACTCCTTGACAAATCTATGTATTTTTACAATTTTTATGATTAAAAGGAAATAGTTCTAGACTTTGCAATGTTTTTAGGGAACTTAGAAGCAAATACTGTTACTAAATCAAAGTACTGGGAGGAAATAGATTATTCTGACATTATTAGTCAAGTGGTTAAAAGGACTGTGTGTCCCATGGCCTGGGAACTACTAAGCAAGAAATAAAATTTAACTGACATCAAATGTCCATTAGTAAGTAAAAAGACAATATAGCAAGTATACTAAAGTGTTCTTAATAGAGAAGCTCATTGGGCCATTGATCTAGACTCAGAAATCACTTTCTTCGAGCTTGTAATACATACCTGTTACATCAGGAACATATTAGAAATATTAGCCTCCCATATTAACCAATGTAAGGAGGAATACTGACATTTCAATTGCAATTTTTAAATGAAGAAAAAACAGAATAACTTTTCTCTGCTATGATTTAATTATCTGAAGACAGAGCCCAGATATTTCATATTTATATAATAAACATATAAATCTATAATTATTAGCCCATTTTTACACATCCATACTCACCTTCCATGCTTATTTCTCTGTCATTTAGTGTACATAACAACAATGATTCAAGCTTTTCATGAAGGAAAATCCTTAGTAGGATGCTAGCCAGTAGTGTTCGGTCTTGTCCACATACATGTGATAAAGCATAGACTACATGAAGTTCTTTTTGCAGTATAAGCTAAAATGGCATTTTAAAAAAGATGGTTGAAAATTCAGAGCATTACATATTCTCGGTGAGACTAACAGGAAATAGTTGTTTTTCATGTTATTTTTAAAGAAGTAGGTCCTGAATAAATTTATTTAAAATACCAATGTTTGATGCCTACATATTTCTTAATTCTTTTTTTGGTATTGGGGATTGAACCCAGGGGCTTTTTGCCACTGAGCTATATCCCCAAGCCCTTTTAATTTTTTATTTCGAGACTGGTTCTCACTGAGTTGTTTAGGGGCTCACTGAATTGCTGAGACTGGACTTGAACTTGTGGTCCTCYGGCTTTAGCAGCCCAAGTCACTGGAATTACAGACATGAGCCACCATACCTGGCCATATTTCTAGTCTTGTAAGATCAAAATTATACCACATGATTTTTAAGCTCTGGTTATCAGTATGCCACTAAGCTTTGAAATTACTATATTTAACTTAATGGATCTTTTATTAAATGGTAAATGTTTCTATTAAGAATGTCATTAAAAATAATTAGACTGTCGAATAACACAGTACCTCTTTAAATTCACTGTACTCTTCTTCTGGCATGATTTTTTCCATAGAATATCGTGCTCGAACACGCAGAGATCCTGGTTCAATGCCTTTTAGTGGTATGTGGGAGCTGAGCAGAAACCATTCGTCTGTGGCATGTCCTTTCTGTAACCGGCTTAACTGGCAGCGCATAAATACTTTGAAAGGAAAACAATGACTTCATTAAATTTTCAGTCTTCTCCACAGTGTTACACCCTTTTTATTAAAGGGTTTTTCTACCACAAATTCAGTACTTACTAGCTTACTTCATTTACTTAATGCCTACTGTATGCAAGGTTGTGATGGATGGGCATGGGATATAGAGATGATTAAGACAGGGTCTTGCAAGAAATCGATTATGGTATAGTGTGATAAGTGCTGTAATAGTGGTTAATGCTTTTTAAAGAAACAGTATCTAATTCAGCCTAGGAAAATTAAAAATTCATTCCAAACAGGTAACCCTTGAGCTGATTTGTAATAGGATAAGTGAAAAAGTAGAGGGGGAAAAAAGAAAGATTACAGTTCAAATAGGACATATGGCTTTCCTTTTCTATGATTACTAGGCACATGAAAGTAATGGGGAACCACTAAAAAATGTTATGTTTAAATAGTATAGCAATTACAGAATAAACATTTTATAGAGATAAATTCAGGCTTTGATCTATCAGTTAATACATACCACTTCCTTCCCTAAGCTTGAGTTTTAAGATGGTATTAACCTAATTCACCCTGATGTGAATGCTAAATCCCAGTGACATCTGTTCTATCAATAGTCTGAGAAGTGTGCTGCTGCTGAGAACAAGAACTAGGAGCATTTGGAGATTAGAGTGAACAAATAACATACTCTAGTTCAAAGAATCCTTTTTTAATAGAGTACTTTCTTACTTAGATATGCTAAGTACAGGAAAGTAGGAAAAAGTAGAAAGGAAGAAGGGAGAGGGGAAGTCCCACAGAAAAATTACCACTGTTACCATTTATTCTTTATTTGCTGGAGAAAGATGTCTGTTTTAGTCTTAAGGGCTTAAGTTTACAATATGTACAATTTAGCTATTTTTTTCTTTTTTTTTAGATACACCCTCTCAATAATCTAAACTTTAGATTACAGTACGAAACTATCTCGAATTACAGTACTTTCATTTTGTTTTTAATTTCCATCTTAAGATATATCATTGTGATTCTAAAAATAAATAAAGGATGCTATTTGTACTTTAGAAAGTTTCTATATCAACTTACAGATATCAGGATCTTTGCTTTTCTTTGTTTTATTACTAAGCGTGATTTCAAATCTATTGATGTCAGGAGGAAGATCACTACAGAAGCAAGGAGAAAAAGAATTAACAATATGTTCTAACTACTTGATTTCTTCAGTATTAATGCTAAATAAATCCTCAATTTCTGTTAAAAACAAGTGTGCTACACTAAAATCTAGATTTGACAACATATTTTATTATTTGGTATACAGGAATGCCTATAAGCACACTTTCTACCATTTTTAATGTCCTAAACTACCAATAATTCATTCAAATAGGTCATAGAAACCCTAGTAATTATTTTGTATGTTTTTGGGCTTATCAATAATGCTAATTTATATTAATGATTAGGTGAAAATGCCAAGATCATAGCACTTTACTAATAAAAGTGAACAAATGCAACACAAAAGAGTTATATTAATAACATCTAGACTTGATTCTTTGTTCTGACGTATAGATTACAGAGACTCCCCTCCAAAAAAGGAAAGAAAATGCAATATAGTTTTTTTTTAAGTGATTTAATGTAATGATAAAATAAAACTTACTCAAAGACAAACTCCTCAGACCACACTGGGTTTTGCCCTTCCCTTGCATGAGTTTTTGCTACTTGGACGCTATTCAGGTAGATATTACAATATGGATTAGTAAAATGTTTTACTGGTAGTTTATGGGCTTCTTCAATATGTAAAACAAGGCTGCTGACCTGAAGAAAACACAAAAATGATTACCCCAGGTTGAAAGAATTATACATTAGGTTTCTAAAACAATTATTATGAAATAATAAAAAATAGTGACTTGTTTTTCTGCTTGTCTTCTTTCATGTGACATACTACAGAATGCAACATTTAAGCATTTAAAATAATCCTTCTCATTTAAAATTTATCTCAAATAAAAACGCAAATTTTATAAGTTATTTCTATTATTTTCTTGCAGAGTAATGAAATACACCTTTCTACCATATAGAAAAAGTAGACACCTGTCACTACCCTGAATCAAAATCTTGAATGATGTATAATACTAACCTGAAAGATTTTATCACTACAAAAGAGAATTCATTAGCTAAAAAAATGTTTTTCAAACACTGTGTCTGCCTTGTGATTTTACAGAAAAGGATACAAATCCAAGGAAGCTTAGTTGCTTATCAGTGTTGGTCCAAAATTCAAGACCTTCTGCCTCCTAGTATCAAGTCATCTTTTTCTCTAATCATCTACATGTGTGAACTTGGACAARTCAGTCTGTTTGAGCCTTGACTTTCTCTCATGTATAAAATGTATAAAGACTGCACTGAAGGTCATAAGGACTAGAAACAGTATATATAGAGCACATAGCAGAGTATCTGACACACAAAAAAGGCTCACAAATGTTAGCTATGATTATAGCTACAATTATAAGTTTCATACAACATACAATTTGCTGCTATTTGAAAAAATCCAATCTGATTTTCTGTAACATTTAAAATTTTTATGTTTTAATGACATATATCGATTATGTATATAATTAAATGTCCTTGCAAGAAGGGCCAGACTCTGGATTAAGGGTCTGGTTACTTAAATTGCCATTTATCCATTTCCAATAGAATAGTATATTAAATTTGACAAGCGGTTTGGAAATTCTTTGGTCAATAAATATGTATTATATTAAGCCTTTCTCAAAATCCCAAGAATTTAACAATTTTTCCCCCAATAATCTAGGGATTCTTATGAAGAAAAAAAATCTAAAAGCTGAAGAATATAAAGTTGCTCTTACATACATATAAAAAGAGAACTCCTAGCTTCACTTTCCAAAAATCAAAGTAGGGGCCTTGTTAATGTTTCAGATTCCTTAAGAGTTATGCAGTAGGTTTCAAAACAATCACTATATAGTAAAAAGCCCAAAAGTCACTGAGGTTAGTACTCTATGTCAGATAACCCTTTCAATAATACTTTTATTTCTACGTTTTTGGAATAGGCCAAAATAATTTTTTGAAGGAAAAAAAATTCCCAACTGAATACATTACTTTTCTTGGTTTCAAGAACAGACTAAGAACCAGAGGTAGGTATACAGAAAGCACTGTCTTTCATAAAGAAATAACACATTGTTTCTACTACTAAAGCAAATGGTAGTAAGGCTTTAAAATGCCTGAAAAGATTAACCTTTCTACAAAAATGTTACAAAAACATTAAGATAGAAACATAAAAAGATAAAAAGCAATAAATGAAATATAATGAAACTTGACAATTACAAATCAAATAAAGTTTCACCTGACGAAGACGTTTATTACATGTTCCTGGACTACTTTTCCGTAAATTGCAAAATGCCTGCAGACCTTTCATCCAATCCTACAAAAAATAACATACCATTTGAAAGACATACACATTAATTTGTTTGGTTTCCAACTGTCAATTTATTTTCTTCAAATTAATTTTTTTTCTTTAGATTTCCATTTCTAGTCTAAGACTATACTATACTATATTTGTGCCCCAATGGAGTAAGGAAAAAAAAWATATATATATATACTTAAAAAATTGCTTGAATTTATGTAGAATCCTACATTGATTTTAAGGATATCAATGAATGACCATTAATTAACCAAATGTGTCTCCTCAACAAGTACTACCTTGGAAGAAATGTCTGTCTGTAGTTAAGCTTTTAACATTTAAGGCTATCTATGGCAGAATTTAAATTGACATTTTATGAGGAGAGAAGGCCAATTTCAAAACCAACTGATAATGTGATGACTGATATGAAAAGCATTCTAATTTTTACCTCAGACCACAATATAAAGGTAGAAACATGTAAGTGAGTTGGGTTATTTCCAGCCCTTTAGATATAACATGAGATTTTACAAATCATTTTGGCCTGATATTTAAATTATAACTACATTTTTAAATGTTAAACATCTACTACTCTGGAAAAAAAAGAACAATTTAGGTTTATTAAAAAATCTAAATATTTATTTTAGCTTACAAATTTCTGAAAGACTCCATACTGCTTTATTTTCATTTTTGTCTAGTTTGTTCGCTCTTTCAATGAATCTAAACCGTCTGTATTTAAAGAATATTAAAGGAGAGCAAATCCAATCCAAATCAATTATCACAACTTTCAGAAATAGAAAAGAATAACCAGTCACCCTGCAACCCCAACAAATTGACAAGTATTTTTCTTCTTCATGACTGAACTTTTATTTCAAGACTTGGGTTCAACCAGTGAAAAACCCCTCATTTGGACTTTTTATGGTACATGGAAAGTAGATTATGGAAAAAGCATATAAAAACATTTTAAGTGAGACTTGGAAAAAAACTGAAATGTCATCAAGGTATGTGACACATCTTTACTCAGAAAGAAGGAAAATGACAAAATATCTAGAAGATAGGAAACTCGCATTTAAATTTCTATCCCTAAATCAATTTCTATCATTAAAAAAAAAAAAAATCTAAGTTACCAAAATGTTTTGAGCCCTACTTTTCTCATCTTAAAATTAGGAATATATACCTACAAACAAACATGGCATTATTAGGAAAATAAGTATTTGAACTATTTTACAATGATTTGAAATATGACAAACTATAAACTAAGACTCATCATCCATTATATTTTTTCTGAGTCTGAATTTTCATAATTTTTGAGTCAGGGGCCCATACTAGGATCCACAGGATTTTAAAATTATTATTATTAGTTTGTTTTGTTATGTTTTATCGTACTAGGGATAGAACCCAGGGGTTCTATGCCACTAAGCCTTACATCCAGCCCTTTTGATTCTGAGAAAGGGTCTCAGTTGTTGAGACTGGCTTTGAACTTGCAATTCCTGTTTCAGTCTCCCAGGGTTTGAAGAGCATTTGCCTTATATACATGGTTAGCAAATCTGTTCTACTTCCAATCCAATGAA